AATGACTGATGAGACGCAACCGGAGGGGGTCCTGGAGGTCGAGTCCCTCCACTGCCACCATATATCGGGCCACTTCTGCTGAACACTCTCTGAACCCAATGCTGTGATAATCGGTCGCAAACTTTTGCGGATCGAAAGAGAAAGTATCGAAACCTAAATAGAAATTAAAGTTTTGGTCAGAAATGAGTTCTTTATGTCTATTCTTAAGTGCTTTTTGTATTCAAACAATACTTTTATTATAAAAGCTTTTTCGCATTCAATGAAAGTTTTTATGTAAAATTCATATCAAAAATAAGATAACTTATAATTAGCGTAAATATTAGTCGCGTGTATAGAGTATATGATAACCACTTGTATACCACTTCCTCGACTCAGTTATCCCTTTCCCACGCTCTTCGCTCTCCTCTCCAGTCGTACTTCAAATCAAATAACTTTTGGTCTAATAATAATAATATAACAAATCCTATGTTATAATCGACTCAATAGTCATTGCATTCAAAATAATAGCAATAATATGAGAGAGAATGAGAGAGAACTGCATTTGAGACCAAATTGTGTCTAATATTTGCCAAACAATACAATGAGATGTCATTTAATGCTTTTAAGTGTGTTATGTATGGATTGGTATACAATTACATACACTTTGCAAACGTCTGAGTCGTGGGAAAGGGATAACTGAGTCGAGGAAGTGGTATACAAGTGGTTATCATATACTCTATACACGCGACTAATATTTACGCTAATTATAAGTTATCTTATTTTTGATATGAATTTTACATAAAAACTTTCATTGAATGCGAAAAAACTTTTATAATAAAAGTATTGTTTGAATACAAAAAGCACTTAAGAATAGACATAAAGAACTCATTTCTGACCAAAACTTTAATTTCTATTTAGGTTTCGATACTTTCTCTTTCGATCCGCAAAAGTTTGCGACCGATTATCACAGCATTGGGTTCAGAGAGTGTTCAGCAGAAGTGGCCCGATATATGGTGGCAGTGGAGGGACTCGACCTCCAGGACCCCCTCCGGTTGCGTCTCATCAGTCATTAACTTCAAATCAAATAACTTTTGGTCTAATAATAATAATATAACAAATCCTATGTTATAATCGACTCAATAGTCATTGCATTCAAAATAATAGCAATAATATGAAAGAGAACTACATTTGAGACCAAATTGTGTCTAATATTTGCCAAACAATACAATGAGATGTCATTTAATGCTTTTAAGTGTGTTATGTATGGATTGGTATACAATTACATACACTTTGCAAACGTCTGAGTCGTGGGAAAGGGATAACTGAGTCGAGGAAGTGGTATACAAGTGGTTATCATACACTCTATACACGCGACTAATATTAACGCTAATTATAAGTTATATTATTTTTGATATGAATTTTGCATAAAAACTTTCATTGAATGCGAAAAAGCTTTTATAATAAAAGTATTGTTTGAATACAAAAAGCACTTAAGAATAGACATAAAGAACTCATTTTTGACCAAAACTTTATTTATATTTAGGTTTCGATACTTTTTCTTTCGATCCACAAAAGTTTGCGACCGATTATCACAGCATTGGGTTCAGAGAGTGTTCAGCAGAAGTGGCCCGATATATGGTGGCAGTGGAGGGACTCGACCTCCAGGACCCCCTCCGGTTGCGTCTCATCAGTCATTTGCAGTGCTATTCCTCCCAAAGAGAGCTGAGTTTGAAAACCAGTGCTTCGGCCACGGGTTGGAATCCAAGTGCTTTCACGACACCTACCTATCCATCCCTGCCATCGACGCACAGCACCGGTATGTCTGGGATGTCGTCATTTGAATCGATGCCACTTCACGGGACGGCAGCCGTTTCGGGTCAATACACACCCAATGGACCACATTTTCATCAATCGTTAGTCGACTCATCCATAAGTGGATCCCAAATGATGGGTCACTCGTCGGGTCACAAGTCAAGTGCTTCGTCGACAGCAACCAGTTCTTCGTCGATGTCTTCAATCCCATACCAACCCTCGAGTTCGTCAACGATGGCAACGATGGGAGCGATGAGTGCTTCAAATGCTCACAATTTCCACAATCCATACCTTCCTTCTGCTTATATGAGCGGTAATGGGAGTGGACTTATGTCTCAACACAACTCATCAGTGGCCAAACACTACCGTCCCTGGGGCGCTGAACTCGCTTTCTAATTCATACCATATGACAAACATATTGATCATGGACAGTAATCGGCAATTACTCATACTTCCAACTAATCCTCTATGTAAACTATGTAAACATTTAATGCCGGGTGTAGATCATGAACATTTCATTCAGCTTTTTATACATTTTTACATTCATCAGATAAGCTATTATTTATATTCACATTTTTATTATATTTCTTGATCTCATTTATTAGACACTGAATATATTTACATGAAATATTATTTTAGTCATTAATACCGGAAATAATTTGTAAATATATTTAAATTTTTTATATTTATAAAATTGTACATCTAGTCCGAAATTATTATTTTTAAAACTAATTTATATTAAAGATTAAATAAATAAAAGTTTATTAATTTAAACAATTCATTGTGTTATTATTTATTACAGTATTTTAAAGTATATTTTAAAATTTAAAATATTATGCGACATTAAGGTGTCAATACATTTATAATATTTTATATTACTACCTTATTATTAAACTTAAGTTTTAGTTTTTTGTTGCACCTAGTTGTTCTGGTTGCAAATCAGTTGTTACAAAATAATATAATTGTATCACTAATGTATCAACTAAAATTAAAAATGAAAGTTCCACTTAAATCGTACTAGTTATTTAGATGAATATTGACAATTTATTATACACCTGGTATAACAGACAAGAATTGTTAATCATTTATTATTAAATACTTGTTTAAGATGTTGTACTTTTCCCCGTTATTTAATGTAACAAATATACCCGTTTGCGTTACGGAAGGCATTTATTATTTACAATTACCTGTATATTTTGTACTCATGTACATTTTAAATATGTTTGATCAGTTTTCAATGATTTATCAATGTTTTATTTATATTAATTTATAACTAGACTAGGTTTAACAACTATATAAATATACTTTTTATGTATGGTACTTTTTTAAATAGTATATTAAATAATTTAATCAAAAATAAAATTAATGCATTTTATTATGTATTAATTGGTAATTATAATATTTATGGTATTAAACAGTTCTCACAGACTTTCATCAATATTATTAATGCCATTGAAATTCATTTCTGAGAAAATTCAATCAAAAAGTTTTATAAAAATTATATTATTTTATGATAAAATTTTTATCACTTGATTGTTGTTTTACTCTTTGTCTAAAAACAACAGTTGCACTCATTCGGCATTGATTTTACCTGTATATTATTTTTCTTAATACAAAGTATTCAGTATAACAATACTCATAATATTACTTGTATTAAAAGAAATAATTTTACATAACTCTTAAATAAGTTGCACAATTGAATTGTGTGTGTATTTGAATTGAGTCGGGATTTCAAAAATAACTGTTTATAACAATGAATGGAAAGATATGCTGCGTTTGTGGGGACCGAGCCGTTGGTATGGATTGAATTAAACCATTAATTAATTATTTCACTAATAATACCGATTTTCAGGCCATAACTTTAGTGCACTAACGTGTGAATCGTGTCGATCATTCTTTAGACGTACGGCACATAAAGCTCAAGTAAGTTGTGTGCAAATTATTGATTGGATTTATGGTATAAAGTACACCATTTATTTACCAATTCCCAAACCCTATAGGAATTAAACTGTATGTTTGGTGACAAATGCGAGATCACGTGTGCGACCAGAAAATTCTGCAAAAAGTGCAGAATTGAGAAATGTTTTGCTGTCGGTATGAAAATAGTTAGTATTT